TAGAAACACTGCAGCTTGGCAAAGATATCATAGGAATAATTATCTAATTTCAGAACATGTTATTATAATACCTACTTGATGTGTAACAAACTTAACAATGTTCGCGTTATATTCACCAACTCTAAGTTATAGACTCACAATGCCAAGTCCCACCTCAGAGGCTTCTCTGAGACCCTAGTGCAGAGAAGGCCCCAAAGAAAGGTCTTTAAGGAACATCCACCCCCCCACCCCCACCCCCACCCCCCAGGGCTTGCTTCTGGATGCAGAGTCTGGCTGGGGAGAGAGGAGATTGCCGGAAGTGGGACGCAGCCTAAATTGGGTGGCAACTCTGTTTCCTCCCAGAATCCCCAGTCCTCACCAGCAGAGGAACCCCTGGAACCGGGAAGGGAACGGCCATATTGGGGTCACCGAGGCAGATAAGCTTTCCCTGACTCAGCAGTGGGCTAGGGGGCCTCATGATCTGCAAGCCTCTCCTCTTCCCCAGGGTGGGGGCTGGGTTGGATTGAGGCTGTGTGAGGAGAATGTTTGCTGTTTGCTGCTGCTCCCTGTTGACTTTAGCCAGTAGCTCTGTTTACAAACCCAGGTTGGTTTTCCCAGCACAGTTAATTAGAACAAAGACATCTGGTGTGAGGGCTGGGGAGGGCATCTGCGCAGAGTGTTCCCCCCACACCCAGCAGCCGTGGGCCAGCACAGGGCAGGTCAGAGCAGCTAAACTGGACCAGACGGAACTCACCAAACCCAAAGTTCTCAGGAGAATCGTGGCTGTTCTCACTCTGCCTTTCCCATGCTTGCTAAGTTAGACTGGGCCCCCACTTTTGAGACTCGGGGGACCCCCCCCCAGGAGTCAGGGATAGATGCCCCTACCTCAGTGGGATCACAGGCTGGAGATCAAAGACTCAGTCCTCTCCTCTGCCCTTCCAAGTCCAAAAGAATCAGGCAGAGATTTCTGTCCCTCTCTCATCACAGTGACTGCATTCTGTAGGAATGTCAGACCTCTTCAGCCCCCCTGCAGGAAAATCTCCCCTCCTGGACACCCCCTCAGAGAGGTGTCCTTCTGACACCTCCCTGACTCCTCTCCAGCCAATTTCTGACACTGCTAGGGAAGAAAGAGATTAACCAGTCCAGAACCAGAGGGAGGCAGGAAGGTGCCCAGGAAGGTGAGAGGTTCTGGGTGGACAGTTCCAGGGCTGTGGGGATGTGGAGGGCTGGGATGGGGAGGGGCAGCGGCTTATCTCTCCCAGGAGGGGGGAGCTCACTCCAAACAGCTAATGCACTGGCGTGTGAAAGCCCCTCAATTAGCACTAATGATGCAATCAGGGAGGGAGGAGGAGGGACCAGAAGTTCTGGCAGAGTCAGCACCAACCTACACACAGAGCACACACTCCTTTCCTTTCCCCGGACACAGTGGCCCCTTCAGAGACACCAGTGCACACAGTCCACAGACAGCCTGGACCACGCACGTCCGTGGGTACAAACGCATTCTTTGCACAAGCTACTAGCATGCGTATGGTTCTGGATCCGCTGATGACCGTGTCTGACTGCGGGGATCCCGGGGAGAGGGTTTCGACTGGGGGCTGCAGGGACGAGGAAAATGAGAAACCAGACTGAGGGGTGGAGGTTCAGTAGGGCATCTTCGAACACCTCATGATTGTTCCTCTGATCCCAGAGTTCCCGTCCCACGCAGACTCGCAGGTGCCAGCCTCTCTGCGTCCACCTCTCCACACCCCCACCCCCTTCGCCCAGAGATCCGAGATTAGGCGAGGAGCCGCCATCCCCGGCCCCACCCGCGGGAGGCCCTGGGTCCCGGGAGGGAGCTCTGAAACCACACGGACCCCCACCACCCCAGAGCCAGCTGCTCGCCACCCGCCCCCCCCCACCCCGCCCAGCCCATTACCCTCCGGCTTCACCCCTTTATCTTCTCCCCCACCCCGCCCGGCCAGCTCCGTTATCCGCCTCCCGGTCCCGTTATCCGGCAGCCCGGCCCCGTTATCCGCCCTTGCGCGGGGCCCGGAGCTCCCGCGCGTCGCGGGGCCGCCGCTGCCCCCTCCCCCTCTCGCGGCCCGAGCTCGGGGGCCCGCGGGCTGGGCAGGGCTGGAGCCGCCTCCGCGCCGCTTCCCAGGCCCGGACGGCCGCGGGAGGAGGTCCCGCTGTCAGTCAGCGGGGAAGGCCGGGCCGGGCGGCCGGAGGGGGCGGCGCCGAGGACGGGCTCGGGCCGGGAGCTGGGAGGCGGAGGCGGAGGGGGCGGGGGCGGGGGCGGCTCCGGGCCTTATAAGCGGCGGGGGCAGGGCGGGAGGGAGGCAAGTGTCAGGCCGATGTGCGGCCCGCGAGGGGCCGGGGTCGGGGCCGCCGGGGCCATGCGCGCGGACTGGGCAGGGGGCCGGCGGGACGCAGAGCGGAGCC